GGGGGGGGGGGAGAGAGAGAGTCAGATTCCAGCCTGAGAAATGCACTGGGCTATCTCTGATTCATGCCTTTCAATATAGTTACTACAAAACCACTGGGAACATACATGTTTCCTTAGATACTGCATTAGCCACTATTATATATATGGGCAATCCAATTCCCTGATGCTAAATTTGCTGTTGTCTTTGTTATATGTATTCAGGCTTCATAGCAGTATTTTGAGGAGAGAAGGGGAACAGGAGGTAACATGCTAGCAATGTGAGACCCAATTGAGAAAATATACATATACATAAGGAAAAAGACTTAGAGTAGCCCAAAAACAGATGGGTGAGGAGAAGAGCATCCATTATATAAAAATGAGGTGACAAAATAACAGTCACCTAGGAAAAGGATTAGCCATTTATGATATGAACTTGCCACTCACTGAGAACAGTGGCAAAACCTCCACTGAATTAAATGCCTCAGTCTCTTGCACAGGACTGGTTGGATGCTATTCAGAGAATAATGTATATATGCCAAGTAATGCTGTTTTCATCAGATAAATTACTTGCCAAATCCATCACCCTGCCGTTTCTTTTCTGTCACAACTCCTGCTGAAGTCAATGGGAGTATTGTCTGCATAACATCTTTAGGACAGGGCACAAGGTTAAACAAAACACATGTGTGGCTGTCCAGGGCCCATCCAGCTTGGCTTTGTGCACCTCCATGGATGGGGCACCCACGGCTCTCTGTGCAGCCTGTGGTTTACAAGTTCAAATGTTCTGTATCAAACTGGATTTTGTTTTACAAAAAAAGAATTAAAGAGATTAAAAGAATTAATCTCTTGCTGTCTTGATAGGAACAAAGATAGAACCCGCAAAGTGCTTAGAAGATCTGCATTTCTAGCTATTAAAATACAACTCAGACACAACAGTGAACTCAGCCTCTCAGTACTTCTTATGGGAAAGTGTAATAGTTACATTAGCTGAGGTGGAATATCCTGTTGCTCTAGGAAGACATTAGAAGCATCCTAAGGGTCACAAGGAAACTTAAAGAAATAAGATAACATACAGTAGCTCATACCATGCTCTGCATGCCTGAAAGATTCTCTTTGTGAGAAATGCCTTGGGATTTGTGTCTCTGGAAACGGTTGTTCCTGTGAGGTGGAAAATAGCTGCTGAGAATATTGTGTGCTGAAGGGCACTAAGAGTGCTCAATGGTTAAGTATGCCAGGGCAGACAACGGGATGCAGAAGTGCTCTGACAGCACCCCGGTTCTCGTGGGGGTCTCAGCCCAGGAGGCAGCAGAGGAGAGCCCCGGCCCGAGGTGGGGGACTGCGGGTCTCTCGAGCCGCTGCGGGCGGCCGGCCCTCCCCCGGGGTCAGTGCTCCTGCGGTTGTGCTGTGCTGCGGGTACAGCAGCAATTCGAGGGAGTCCCAGCAGCAGCTCAGCACCTGGACCACGTCCTGAAAGAGCTGTACTTTTTTTTTTTTTTTTTTTTTTTTTTTTTTTTCTTTCTCTGTACAGTTACAGAACAGGAAAATGACTCAGAGCTTAGTTGCTGAGTTTTATACATGAAACGCACGGATAGGTGTGTGCCTCTAGGATACTTGATTGTTGCTGTTGAGGGTTTTTCTGGAGTGATTTCAGAGTTCAGTGCCACTTGGAACACACTTGCCAGCGTGTTCCGTGTGCCCCCAAAGTAGGATCTAACAGCTGTGCATTTTTTATTTATACAAGCCAACAGTTTGCGTATGCAGTCAGTACACGGGGACATATGTTTGCTGGTGCAAGGTTTTCCCCGTGTCCCGCGGTGACGGCTGGCTGGAGCTGCTGCTCGCCTCCTAAGGATTCTCTCGTGCCCTCCGAGTCATCCAGCGGGGACTCCGGGAGCGACACCGCACGTCCTTCCTCGCGCTGTGCGCCGCTCACCTCCTCCCCCGGACTGCCGCCTGCATCCCCCCAGGGAGCGTTCCCCGTGGGACGGGCCGCTGCAGCCACGCTCTGCTGGCACCCGCTGCCAGGCGCGGACCTCGGCGGCCGCAGAGCGCTCTGCGAAAACTTCCGCGCCGGAGCTGCCGGGACTGGCCGCGCTCGCGGAGCGGCAGGGCGGGCGCTGGGGCGGGGCGGCGGCGCCGGGCGGGAGGCGGCCCGGGCCGGGGGACTCGCGGCCGCCCCCCACCATCCCCCCCGCCCTCAGACGGCCCGTGCCCCGCAGCGCTGCGGCCCGGTCCGGCCGCTGGGTGCGAGATGGCCGCCGGTGGGAGCCGCGGACTGCTGCGGCTGTGGCTGCTGGCGGCGGCGGCGGGGCTGGCGGCGGGCAGGGCTCCCAGCTGCCACGAAGTTCGGACGGCGTTCCAGCTGCGGCAGATCGGGCCCCTCAAGCTGGTCCCCGACGTGCCCACGGCTGGTCAGTACCGTCCGCACCGCGAGGCCGCCGTTCGGGGGCTGCCGGGCGGCGCGCGTCTTCCCGGGGTCGCATTCGGGTCCCGCTCGGCGCCGCGCCGCCGTCGGAGCGCTGCTGCCTTCGGCCCGAGGGAGGCAGCCCGGGGCTGGCGGGGCTCTGTGCATCGCTCGCGCGTTTCTGTAGAAGTCCCGGGGGAGGGAGGGGGGGAGGGAGAGCAGCGAGACGTCTGGGTGTCTGCAGCCTGCAGGTATTTCTTGCTGACCGTCACCGGAAGCATCGGACTTTTTTTTCCCCTCCCCCCCGCCCCCCACGTTTCGTTAGGGCTACTGTGATCCTTTTGCTGAGTTCTTCGCGCAGAAAAATCCTTTCAGGAATTATCTCTTAGAAGGCAAACTTGTAGCTGAGTTATTAAGGAGTACTTGTTTTGCTGGCCAGGTGTAGAGGTCCTGGGAAATGTGTCGTAATTTCTGAATTTGGAAGTTTTCTTTTGCTTGTAAATTCAGAAAGTCATTGAGAAAGACAGGAGTAATGCTTTGGAGGGATGTGATCAGCAGAACTCGGTTTTGCTCTGTTGAGCAGCAAGTCCACAGCGTTTAGTATTTGTGAAAATTGATGAGTAGTGTTATGTTCTTTTTTTTTTTTTATATAGTGGAAAAGTTGCACATAGTAAAAGGTTTGCTTTCTAAGTACTCTCTTGAATTCATTGTAAGGGAGTGAAGTGCTTCATGGAGTCAGATGATGTAAATCTTATGAATGACCATAGATCTATCTGGATAATGAAGTCATTTTCCCACTTTCCTCATGTTTTAAGAAAAATATTTGCAAGACTGGAACACAAAAGAAAAGGCTGCCAGTCTCTTACAGAACAGTCTGTAACTGCCTCTGGCTAGCACGCTGTGTGTGTGTGTGTGTATGTGTGTGTGTGTGTGCCGGGATACCTGTCAGTCTGAGTTGTTAACTTCGTTTGTTTTCAGATCACTTCAAGCCTGCAGAGGCTGATGAAAAGAATTCTTAGTTGAAACTAGTTTGGGGTGTGTTTTCTGCATTGGTTTCTGTCTGAGGGGTAGGTTTGATAGGCTGTTGGTCTGAGCAGAGACAGCTCCCGTGGGCATAAGGAATTGCACAGTGCTGGTGATCTTCACCTTCTCTTTGCATAAAGTAGTGCAGATTGCGTGCAGCTGGAAAGTTGTCTATGACTAAGGAGACCTTGGTTTGTGGTAAGAAGATATAAGCAGGAATGGCATTCTGAGGCTTGAATCTTGCTACTGTTCTCTTGTGCTGATAGAGAAATCAGATTCCAGTTGGAGAGCTATATGTGGAAGCTGGGAAAAAAAAAAAAGAAAAGAAAAGAAAAAAAAAAAGAAAAAAAAAGAAAAGAAAAGAAAAAAAAGAAAAGAAAAAGAAAAAAAAAAGAGAACAGGTAAAACAAGGCTTCTCGTCTACTGTGTTGTGCTCTTTCCTGAGCTCTTCCTGGAAGAAGTCTCAAAGCTTTTATAGAACATATAAAAGACTGTAATAGAGCTCTAGTATTGTGAATGAAGTGTGGGGGAAACCATGTTGTGCTCTGGAGGAAAGATGCCTCAGAGATGGCTTCATTGCATTCCTTGTGTCATACTGAATTTTCTTGTTCAATAACAAGCTCTCAGAAGATAAATGGCAGGAGAGAAGGTGAGGGAGGGCAATATCCTTTTAAATTTTAGCTTTCACAAAGAGGAAAAGGATTTTTGGAGCAGAATAGAGCTAAGGAAATGCAGTGTGCGTTGATCTTCCCTGTTTGTTAGGTGTATTTAGCTCCAGCAAAGCTCCAGTGTGTTATTGATGCCTCTTGCCAGGCAGCAATGCCTCCTGCCTTATGCCCTCTTAATTAATTCAGTACCAAAGCGTTTTCCAGTGTTTCCATCTGGCAGCTGTTATCAGTGGATATACCTTATTCTGCCCCACCAGGCACACAGTAGGGTACTGAGGGCCATTCTAAAAATTCATGACCAGCACATGCATTGGGGTGCTTCTCGTCCATCTGCATGTTGGGTTTCTCAAAAAAAAAAAAAAACCAAACAAACAAAAACCAAACAAGAAAAAAAACCCACAGAATTTCTGCAGTCATGTTATCTTTTTACCAGATATTTTCAGTCACAGTAGTGTTGAAAGCCTTTGGCCAGTATTTATTGGCTAACGAGTACAATGAATCTGGCAGAAGTTAGTCTTACAGATTATTAAATTCTTGTAATCTTCAGGAAAATCAGCAGCTTGGTTGAGGAGGGAGGTTTTCCAAGCTGGATAGGGAGGCAGCAGGCTGAAACTGGCTGGTGCATAGTTTCTATCTCCTACAGGTGGTGCTTGTTTCACACTTAGTAAAAGTAACTCCAGATACTGAAGAGTCTGTAGCCTGCACTCTCTGGTGTTAGTGTAGCTGCAGTGCTGAAGTCACCCACCAGTGGATCCTGGGTGCCAGCTTCACGAGGCCTGCCCTCATTGCACAAGGTCATGAAGTACTGAGGTCTGAACGGCAGGCCTTGAACCAAAGCTGACCTCCAGATGAATCTCACAACCCAGAATCAGTATCTAGTTATTAGCAAAATGTGTGTGATCATTAACAAAATATGCATCTTGGACAAAACATCTCATTAGCAAGAGTTGTAGCTTAGATAAAGCATTATGAGAATGTATTAACCTTTCCTTGCTTTGAAGCACGGTGTCAAGGCCTACGAGTACACAAACTTCCTTGGTTCCTCCTTGAGCCCTGGCCAGGCTTGAGGTAGAATCCAAAGGCGGAATGAAAGCAGATGTTTCCGCCTAATTGTCACATAAACTTGTCTATTCAACAACATAAAAGCTGGACACACTTGTAGTGAAGTTGGAGACCTCACCTGGGAGTGGATGCACTGCACAGGACCTCCCCGTTGTGTGATGATAAAGCAGTGGGGCAACTGGTGCTGTATCTTTCTTAATCGCTATTGCTGTCCTCACGTAGTGATGGTTAGGTGCGTTGCCTTGTTCTGTATTGTACTTGCTGTATCGCTTCACTTACTGTCTCACTGTTTTAAACTTAAGTAAAGATAAATGCACTTCTTAAGCTTGGTGCCTGTGAACTCTGTGCTGGCCCTGATGACAAGAAAACAGGTCTGAAGGCAGATTGTTGATCTCCTCCACAAAATGTATTTGCATGGGGAACAAGAAGGACCCCTGTGGAAACATCATTTGTTCTGTTCTTAAAGTGTGGCCTCCCTGAAAGCTGTCACCTCCTGTTGAGAGCTCTTAGAGATGCTCAAAAGACTCCTCTTAAATTTTCTTTCATAGTTTCAATAAAGATGTGAGATTTTTCTGTTCAGGTGAAATCTATACCGTTAACGAGTGCAGGACTAGGAAAGAATAGTGCTTTGACATGGAGTAGAGAGGAAGTCCTAACAACAGGTATCAGCAGATCTCCTTGGTCTGTCTGAAGGACTTTGTTTTCTGCTAGTGGAGTCTGTAATGTATTTCTTGTGATGCTTTTCTTGAACAAACAGTGAATGTTTCAAGGGTAATTTGCTGCAAGTAGCAAACAGATTGATCAGGTAGAGGTACTGCTGCTTTGGCTGGGATTCAAAAGAAGGGTCTTCCCCAAGACTGGAAATTGAGGTAATAAGCTCCTGGTTTTGTACTTTGATTGTCACAGGCTGAGCAAGCTGGGATGTTTTTGTGGGAGTTCCTAGGTGAACATTTTGATGAGTGAGAATTATATGTTGACTCCAAGGATGAAGAGCTGCATTAATCCTGCCAAGGAACTAAGCCTGTGGTTCCAGAGAGTCTAGATAACTCAAAGCTGATGCTTACCGCAATGCATGGTATTCCTCCCAGACATGGGGCTGTAGTGAGAAATACCTTGTGAACCCTGGGTTGTATTACAGTGTAGCTGCATGTAGGCACTGGCTGTGCTTACGGTTCTGTTTATTTATGGGCTTTTTCCCTGGCACTGATCACAGGGGTGGCTGACTGCATCCAAATTCACTCTAGGAAACTGGATGAACCCAACTGGGTTCTTGGACTTGTCCGCAATCAGACAGTGAATTGTAGCTGAGCCAACAGAGAAGTAGCCCTTGTTTCCTCTGCTGATCATGTAACCATAAGAAAATCCTCCCTCTTCATACAGGCCCCCAGTTCTGTCTCTTTTGCTTCTTGGCTAGTATATGAAGAAAACTATATTCAAACATGTAAGTTGTAGAGAGAAAATTGGGATGACTTCTGGTAAGCAAGAAGGATATCTGTCACTCATAAAAGAGTTCTAGGACATCTTTATCCCCTGAATGATAATCTTGTTGAGGACTGCTGAAAGGACAGTTTGCTTCTCGTGCTGCTCTACTGCTTAACAAAGAGTGTTGGCTCTGGAACTCAATTCTGAAGAGCAGATTTTGTCCTGCAAAGTGCTTCTTTATTTTCTACTGTCATCCAGCATCTTTAAATCAGCAGCATCTTTACATCAGCAGTTCCTTACCGTGTATATGTATGCATATATATATATATATATATATATATATATACACACACTGAATGTCCCATTGCAGAGCTGGACATGCATTACTAATTTATACATTAAATCTATTTTACTTTGTGACTTTACAAAAGAGTCCTAGATTCCTACCAGAAGCTCCTTGGATGAGTGAGAGACTGTCTCTCAGCCTGTGGCAAAGCTTCTGTCATGTATAAAGAAAGGAGCATGAGCTAGATCCATTTTTGAATATATCCAAAAATATCTATTAATCTAACCATTTTAAAATGGAGGAGGTTGTACCACACTTTATTTTCCCTGTTTTTTTTCTCTTATCACTCAGCTCTTTATTTCTATAATCTCAATGAGAACACTGTAATTCCTCTGGTAAAGACGCAGTGTTGAAACACATTTTGTTCACATCAACATTCTGTCAAAGTCACTCTTAAGCCTTGTGCTTACCAGATGTGAAAGGCACTTCTTTATTGGCTCTGGAAAGTTTTTGCCACATAAGGAAGAGCAACTAATAAGTCTTTGG